TGACTGGCAATGACTGGTCACTATGACACACACTGACCGCCAGGGGGAAGATGCTCAATGCAGGAGTTGCCCTCTGGTGGTCAGTGCACTCCCACAGGGGGAGCTCTGCCCACCCACAAGCCAGGCTGACGGCTGCCAGGATAGCGGTGGTGGCGGGAGCTTCTCCCGTCTCCTCAACAGCACTAAGGATGTCTGAATGCAGCGTAGGCCTGCTCCCCGCTGGCAAGTGGACATCTGGGGCTGCCAAAGGGATGTCTGACTGCCAGCTTAGGCTTGATCCCCTGGGGAACGGGCCTAAGCCAGCAGGTGGAAATCCCCTGAGGGGTCCCAGACTGGGAGAGGGCATAGGCCAGGCTGAGGGACCCCCCGAGTGCACAAATTTTTGTGCACCGGGCCTCTAGTCCTATATAACAAAGGCCTAATATGCTAAGTGTCTGGTCGACTGGTCGGCCATTTAACTAATCGAAGTATAATATGCTAATGACATGCTAAGGCCACTCAACTGCTCGCTATGATGTGCACTCACCACCAGGGAGCAGACAGTCAACCAGTTGACCAGTCACTATGAAATGCACTGACCACCAGGGGGTAGATGTTCCAAACAGTAGATTAGCTTGCTGGTAGGGTACAGGGTGAGATGGGCCAGACATGCCCTGGAGACTTCCCTCAGTCCTTCCCTGGCTGATCAACCTCCCATGTCTTTTCCCTGCCCCAATCATGCACCAGTAGGGTTTCTCAGCCTGGTCTCAATCTGGGACCCCTCAGGAGAGCTGGTTTTGGCCTGATGCCACAGGCCAGGTGGAGGGACCCCATGGGTGCATGAATTTGTGCACCAGTCTTCTAGTATTAAATAACTGTAGAAGTTAAAAATTAAATCTTGTACATCTCCTTTTGATGTTGCTGTACTCTATTCATTGTCTGCAATAAAGCGGCTCTGACAGTGAAACGGTTTGAGTCCTCTGAATCCTTTCAGCAATTAAAAACTTAAGGTGATGATTTTAAAATTAACACAGGCTGCACAGAAAAACTGTACCTCTGAATATAAAGAGAAGAAAATGAAGCAGAATTAAGCTGCAAGTTTTCTATCATATCTTACTCTTATTTTTCATATTTCACCCCAAAAAGGCTAAAACCATGCATTTCACAATAGCATTATCCAGCCACCCCACAGCTTCTGAGGAAATCAGGTCCTATGCCCTATGATTGAATTGCATTCAAGTTCAAAAGTGAAGAGGTGATTCTGCATTGGTGTGGCCCCACAGGGAAGAAGAAGCAGGTAGACATGACACTGTAGAAAAAGAACATGATTTCAAATGTAATATATATTTAACTTTTTATTTAAAGTAACAAACATGCACTGAGAAAAACTCACATCTATAGTAATAAAAGTTTAATATGCTAATTAGACCGGACAGCCAGATGACCTTCCTGACATCCTTCCAGATGACCTTCCAGATGAAGCTGGGGCTGCGAGGGCCAAGCCGCTTGCACGAATTTCATGCATTGGGTCTCTAGTATTAAAATAAATTATTACAAAGTATTCATCACCCAGGTTCATGACAATAATATCTTATCACTAGCACCTGAGAGCACTCCCTCATGTTCCTTATATAGATCTATCTACCCTCAGAGAAATCCTAAACATGTCTAACTTATTTCCCCAGAAATTAATATTTGATAAATCCCAATAAGTCAATTTATGGTTTGTGAACTCTGTTATATTTTGTGTTTGGTTACTGTCATTCAATAATATTTATGTAAAATTAATCTTCATTGGTTTGTGTGGAATTGCAGTCATTTTTGTGTGGCAGTATAATACTCCATCCCACTGTATATTACAATTTATTTATACAAAATACTGTGGATTCACATTAGTGTTGATTTTAGTTAAAATATGAAGAGTAATACAGCTAAGAACATTGGGTACATATATTTAGTGCTCATTTATATTATTTCTATTTGCTATATACCTGAGTGGAACCACTAGTCATGAAATAGGCAAATGTTTATCTTGGACAAAGACTGACACTGGTTTCCAAGGTGCTCTTGCCTGTTATACTTACATCAGCATTTCTTAATATTCCTTTTGTTTTTTTTGGAAACACTTGGTCTGGCTTTTTCTTTTTCTTTTTTCATTTTAGTCATTCTGATGATTGTGTCATTAATTCATTATGTTTTTGTGAAGTGCCCATTCAATCGAATCTATTGCCTATATACTATTGTATCAGTTGTTTTTCCTACTGAAATATTCTCAATTAAATTTAAACAAGTTAGAGACTGGATCCATGTGAAGAGTTATGCTTGGCCATGCCAAGTTTGTTATATTAATTAGATACTCAAGTATGGAGGCCAAGAATTCAAGTGGACTATATGAGTTTGGAGATGAGGATAGACGTAAGTTTAAAGCTATATATTTAGATGCTTTCAGACTATGGGAGGATTAACGCCATGGAACTAAACAATATCAGCCAGACTAAGGCTAACTCCTTGGGTACTCCATCCCTAAAAGGTTTGGAAAAAGAAATATCAGAAGGGAGACTTGAAAGAAATGGCTAGTGAGTTAAGAGAGAAACCAAGGGTTAGACAGGTTTAGGATTTCAAATGAAGAGAAGCATATTTCAAAAAAGAAGGGATGATCAAGTCTACCAAATAGCACTGAGGGGATGGTTAACATGAACACAATTTAACAAGATGAACATTGTTGGTGACTTTGGAAAAATAAGTGATTTCAGTAAGAATAAAATTTGATGGGAACAGATTGATGAGAGAATAACATATTAGATATTTTAAAAGGCAGCATAGATACTTCTATGATACCGTCCTAGAGTAAACTAAAGAACTGGGAGGTGTTTGGAGGTGTACTATTAAAGGGAGAAAGCGTTTTGATTAAAGATGAAAGATATGATAGCATAAATTTGGTTTGCACTTGATCCTGAAGGTTAGGAAAACATTGGGAATGCAGAAAAGAGGGAATAATTGCTAGAGATGAATCATTGTGTGAACTCAAGTGGGTGGACTTGATTGTACAGTACAGGAGTTGGTAGAGAAATAATTCATCACAATGAAATAATTACCCCACAGTCAGAGACAATGAATATAAGAGCTTCTTGCAGGTCTTTTTTTAAATCATTGATTTAGAGGAAGGGGGAGAGGAATAGAAAAATCCATGAGAGAGAAACATCAAATCTAATGCCTCCTGCTTGCCCCAACTCTCTTCCCCACCCCGCTGGGATCAAGTCCACAACTTGGGTATATCCCCTGACTGGGAATCAAATAGGCAACCCTTTGCTATAAAGGATAGTGCTCAACCAACTGAGTCATACCACACCAGCCAGGTAACTTCCTGTAGGTCTTTGATTCTTGGGCATTGCTGGCTAAAACCACATAACCCAGCTCATTCTGACTGTGGTACTGGCTCTTGTTGCTCTGATATAAGTCAAGTCAGTAATATGGTGCCGCGGTGTTTCCATTCGCAGTGCATTAACGTACTGTGCAGTGCACGAATCACATTCAATCTTCAATCACACCCTTTGAATTGGCTCTTATGTAGATGTGGAAATTGAAGCTCCAAAAGAGCAAGTAAATTTAAAAGCAACACTTAGCTACTATGTTGCAGATCTGTGAATCAGGTTTCACATTTGAAACTATTTTTCAGGAGGATGACCATAAAATTTGACATCTAATGTTATGTACTTTGGAGGGTGAAAGGCATAGGTGTAATGGTTTAAACTGGGACTATGGGTGTAAAACAAGATTTTCTAGAGCAAGCACAGGGTATGATTTTCTTTTCCTTCACTTTTTGATATCTTTTATATTCAATTCAAAACATTCTATTTCATTTTAATTCTTTCAAGGCTATTTTTAACAATAACTATCTAAAGTTAACATTAAAGAGATAATTAGGTTTTAAAAATTATAATAAAGACAGAAACACTTAAATATGCATAAAATATTAATTTATTGAAATGACTGGCTTGGAAATAGTAATAATAAGCACAATTCCAGGAACTATTTTACACATATTTTAGGTGTAATTATAGTATTTCCAACTGAAAATTAAAATTCTGTGGTACTTTTCAAATTAAAATTTGGAAAATAGAGGTTATGAGTCAAAATCAAATTAAGACAAATGCTATATAATACATAAAATAAAGAAATACATTTTTATTTTTCCATGTAGAATCATTAAAGAATTGTTACTTTTTTTGATAGCATGATACAAAGATTGAAAAGATGCCACATTTCTAGTCACAGTCAATTCTGTGGAATAGAGAACAAATATAGAATTAGTTATGTTATGTAAATCACCATACATATCTCACCGTTTATAACTTTGGCATAACTAATCCATTAGAGAAATGTTATTACAAATGCACCATGTTGTACTCTATCTTGCATATAAAATTTCTAAGGACCAAATAACATTTAACTTGCAATTGTTTCAATATCTAGTCTACCATAATTACTAAAAAGTTTGTATCTTAAAAAATGTTCCCCCTTTTAATCCTCACACTGAGACTCATTAGTTTTATTTTGACACATGAGTTAAAAGACAATATGTACATTTTGAATGTGATAAAACAATTAAAATTTATGGAACCTAAGTTATATAAATGAAAACACAAGTTGATTTTTAAAAAGAGTTCAAACATATTTATAGTAAAGCAGAAGAAACTTTTAGTTTTTTTCTAAAAATGATGATAAGCATACGGACATAAGCACTTGAAATTAAACCATTCAAATCAGTCAATAACACATAATTAAATTAAAATACAAAGATACATAATTTCAGGTGAGTACATAGTAGTCAACTGTTTAGGTGTCTATGACACACTGATAATTAATAAGTAAGTTCATATATTGATGGAATTTCTTACTACGTTTAGCTTATCCAGGACAATGAAATATAAAAATGTATTAACTATAAGCATAATCAGTCTAATCTCCAAACTCCCAAAGCTTACCAAAAGTGAAGGATGAACATTAATTTTGAAATCCTCTTAAACCTTGAAAAACAAAACAAGATAAATAAATTACAATTCACTTTTTGGCAAGTACATTCCTTCTAAAAGTTCTGAGTAATGAAATAATCATCTCAATTGTCTGCTCTCCCATGTACATGCATAAAAACAAGATGTGAATAAAAGCATGTAGAGAATAGATGTTCACAAGGAAACTTCAAAATTGTATAAAAGAACAAATCATCTTTATTCCACACGCAGATTATCAAATTTAATTCTGGCTTCAGTAAGCCTTAACTCCCTTTGTCTCTTGTCAAGAGATTGATTAAATCAGACTCTGAAATTATTTCTTCTCAATACTCAGTATCTTCTACACAGAAAAATAAGAACAATGATTTCTAAAAATCTTCAATTACTCCTACACATTGGTATTTAGGCGGAAACATGTTTTCTAGGTTATTTTATTGTGTAACTAGTGTTGAGAATCCTTGATCTAAAAAACTATGTGTATTTTTGGATCCATCAAATAGTCATTTATACTTTTATTCTGGATCTCTCACAACTTCTACTCTCATATACACATCATGAATGAAACAGCAGAGTTAATAAGGTAGGACTTACTTGTTGTAAGTTGTAAGCTGGGGCCATAGGCTGAGCCACAGGGTAGAACTCCCAGTTGAGGTCAAACAGAGGCTCCTGCATAGTCATAGCTCTCTGGGGGTAGGTCAGCAGTTGCTGGGAAAGAGGCAGGACTTTGGACTGAGGAAGGGAGACCAGGGACTGAGTGGGAAGCATGGGAGTCTGAAGAAGAGGCTGGGGGATCTGGGGCATCCAGGGCTGGAGCAGAGGCAGAGGAAGCTGTGCTTTGAGGTCAGTGAGGTTTGGGATCTGGCGCTGAAGAAATGGCACTACTGGAGATTTAGGCAATTGCATCACATTGCGCTTAGGAATGATGGTCTCCTTAGTATTGGGGACTTCCATCACTTCAGGCTGAAGGAGAGGCAGCACCATAGCAGGCTGGGCAAGAGGCAGGATGTTTTGTGGAAGGACAGGGTAAGGCATGGGCTCAGCATAAGGATAGAAAAGAGGCTGTGGCTGGACAAAGGAGTGGATTTTGTCCTGGCGTTCATCCTGGAAAAAAAAAAAAATCTTTAAGTCCAAGATTCAGCTATAATTGTCATTCATGATGAATTAACCTCCTCTCTATTGAGGAATCCTGAGTGAAAGAGAGAAGGAAAATCTTTTATTGATGCCGGTTAAGAAATTATTTGGGGACATATGAAGACAAGTTAAATACTCATTGAGGGATTTTCTCATTAATCCACCCCCTTCATAGGTGGACCCAGATCAAACTGAAATCAACGTTTAGGGATTTCAAGCTTGTTTCTCCTTTCTGAGTTGCCTTCAATACCATGGCTAGCTGTACAGTTTGGTGCTCAGCGGGCATGAACTTTTCAATATAATGCGATAATTGTAAACCAAATTGTGTTCATATAATGAAGGTTAATTTTGAAAAGACTTTAAGAGGAACATTGCCAAGGTTTTCTTCTATGTGTTTTAATGAAAAGTAAATCTTAATTGTAGGAGCTGCTTAACACTAGCTAACTTCTAGTACTACTTTCCTTAGTAGATAGTCATTATTGCAAGTCTTTAAAGAGGCATCATTTTGTAAAATCATTTTGGTATAAGTTCCAAACAAACCCAACCCATTGGTACAACAGAGAAGCTGAAATATTAAAATTACATAAATAAGTTAGCATACATGTAATTTAATTAAATATTTTTCTGTAGTCTAAGAAAATCTTATTTTTAAGCAAGCTCTACTACTTAATAATTGTGTGATATTGTCACACAATTGTGTATTCAATTGTTCTGTACCTCACTTCTCTCATCTGTGGAATAGAAATTCTTTTATGAAGTGTATGTATTCATCAATGTTAATATAAAAAATAAAATTTTAACATAAGTCATTGAGTACTTACTATGTGCTAGCTCATCAACCTAAGAGATTATTAATATTCTCAGTTTATAGATGAAGAAACTAAAGTGCAGAGAAACTTGGGGCCAAGGTTATACAGCTAATTAATTATCAAAATAGAATCACCATATTTCCTCACCATTTCTTTTATCACATATCTATATTGAGAATAAGTGAACCTAGTTCCCAGCCTGGAAATGTATCTACTATTGTGTATTTATGGAAAACAGGTACTCACCATTATTATAATAAGCAAGTCAATAATTATTCTTAAGTATTTAGTCTATACAAGTGGATTATGAGCTTAAAAATGCACCTATGTCTTAGCAATATACTGTCAAATTTTTATATCTTATATGACATTTATTTTATTATAATTTTAGACTGAAAATGCACATATTTATATGTATTATATTTTATAATATTTTTGAAATATTCTTATCATGAACAACTTACCTCTTTTTGCTGCTGATTGTAATTTTCGAACCTCTCAGGTTTCTGCTAGAAACAACATGAAAAGAAATAGTAAAATCTGTGAAAATCAAATGTAGAAAATATATACATTTAAATATAAAGGTTTACCCTCTCCCCTTTTGTGGTATGTAAAACTGAAACCCATTACCAGAGGGAAGAGGGTTGGAGGGTAGTAAGACAAATGAGGCCAAATATATGGTGAAGGAAGATGACTGGACTTCAAGAGATAGGCAAACAATGCTATATACATATGATGTATCATAGAAATGTGCATTTGAAACCTATATGATCTTATTAACCAATGTCACTCCAAAAATTTCAAATAAATGAATAAATAAACAAATAAATAAATAAATAAATAAATGTTTTTACCTTGTTGATGTGGGTAATAGACTCCTTTAGGAAAATAAAAATAAATATAGGTTAAGTTTTCTTAGAAAATTTTTATTTGCCAATATGAAACAGAAAATGAAGGCATTTAAAAGGTTAATGTGGATTTCTTTCTTGCCAACATCATTAAAAACACAGCATAATTACTGAAACTTATATGTTGATCTGTTCTGCACAAGTCTGTTCTCTAAATACCATAGATGAATGCAGTCAAGAAAGAAAAGAAAGTTAGTGAACATAGTACAACAAAAAGCATTTAGTAAACTCTAATTTTCCTTCTCACTATGTTCCCTTCCTATAAAAAAAACTAATGACCTTTAAGACGCCATCTGATTCTGAAAGAATAAAATTCGTTAATAAGAAATTATAATAAGTGTTAATACATTCTATCCATTACTCTTAGTTCATTGGTTATGTTCAGATTTCAAATGAATTGTAAGAACTAAATACTTTCCCTATGATAACCTTTGTGAAGAGATAAAATATACCTAGGTACCAACTAGCAGGTGACAGACCACAAAAGTGATGCAAGTGTAAATATCTGCCTGACTCTCCCAGGCATATTTAAGACTAAAACTAAGTCTCACTTTTCTGATTTACTAAAGTGACTCCTGTAATGACAAAATATGTCCTTTTGCATGTCTGCCCACCCCTTATATTGCAATTCTTTCCTATGGGCATCTGCTTTTCAGTCTGTACCACAGCTCCTAGTCGATATCTAAGCCGCAGAAGTGCTCAATGAATACCAAAACAGTGAATGGGGTCAGTGTGGAGAGAGCTCCAGTCATATAAAAGGAGTGTAGCATTCACTTAAAGAAGCGGGTGGGGCAAGTGACAAGGTTCAAGTAGCAGCTAGCATAAAAAGCATAGAGAATAGGGAATTCTGTAGACATTTATTTTGTCCTTAAACATATAATGGAAATTTACATCAAAACTTACATGTCAGAACTAGCTGCATTGAGTTAAGCGCCCCAAAATAACACAATATAAAGAGTTGCTAGCATTTTACTGTCCAAAATGGAAAATTCCCTCAGAATGAACATTGTCTTACCTCACTGCTAGAAATGCTTTCTATCGTCTGTAAAGAAAAATACAAAATCAACAACTGGATCATCAAAGGCTGTTACTTTTTTAAAAGAAATGTTTTATTGATATTACTATTATTAATCCTCACCCGAGGATATTTTTCCATTGATTTTTAGAAAGAGTAGTAGAGAGAGGGAAAGACAGAGAGAAACATCGATGTGAGAGAAACACATCGACTGGTTGCCTCCTGCACACGCCCTGATCAGTGCCCAAGCCAGGCAGGAGCCTACAACTTAGGTATGTGCTTTTGACAGGAATCAAACCCAGGAACTTTTGGTCCACAGGTCAATGCTCTATCCACTGAGCCAAATTGACCAGGGTTTTTATTGATTTCAGAGAGAGAGAGAGAGAGGAAGAGAAAGAGAGAGAGATGTGGGAGAGAAGCATCTATTGGTTGCCTTTGTCTACTGCCACCAGGGTTCGAACCTGCAACCTTTTGGTGTATGGGAAGCTGCAAACAACTGACCACACCAGCCAGGAAAGAATGTTACTAAGGATGGTTAGAAAAATTTTCTCTGAATAAAATATCTTACCTCTCTGGATACACTGATTTGTTCCTTCTGTAAAGGAAAAAAAAAACACCATTTAGTTTCAATAGCTATCTTATTTTTCCTACTTACTTTCTACCTTCTTTATACAGAACTATCACCTTCACAAATTTAAGAAATAAAAAATGTATGTCTTTTGAGAACCTTAAAAGGTAATTGTGTTTTATGTCTTTTATATTTGACTAGAGGCCTGGTGCACAAAAATTTGTGCATTTGGGGGGTTCCCTTAGCCCAGCCTGTGCCCTCTTGCAGTCTGGGACCCCTCGAGGGATGTCCATCTGCTGGCTTAGGCTCGCTCCCTGGGGGATTGGACCTACGCTGGCAGTCAGACATCCCTCTGGCAGCCCAGGAGCCCCTGGAGATGTCCACTTGCCAGCGGGGAGCAGGCCTAAGCTGCAGTCGGACATCCTTAGCTCTGCTGAGGAGGTGGGAGCGGCTCCCACCACCACTGCTGTACTGGCAGCCATCAGCCTGGCTTGTGGCTGAACAGAGCTCTCCCTGTGGGAGCACACTGACCACCAGGGGGCAGGTCCTGCATTAAGCATCTGCCCCCTGGTAGTCAGTGTGTGTCATAGTGACCAGTCATTGCCAGTCGTTCTGCTGTTAGAGTCAATTTGCATATTACCCTTTTATTATATAGGATAGAGCTGGTGCATGGGTTAGGGCCGGCTGGTTTGTCCTGAAGGTTGTCCCGGATCAGGGTGGTGGTCCTGATGGGGTGCTTGGCCAGCCTGGGTAAGGGGCTGATGGCTGTTTGCAGGCTGGTCAAGCCCCCTGTAGGGACCCTCACCCCATGGGGGTATGGACAGACTGGGTGAGGGGCTGATGGCTGTTTTCAGGCTGGTCACGCCTCCCAGTGACCCAATCTCCCAGCCTCTCCTTTCTTTCTCTTATTTTTTTTTTCCAGCATGTATTTGGGATTTATTTATCTTCTATAATTGAAACTTTGTACTCTTGAGAGGAGTCCAGTGCCACCCAGGGCAGGTGGGAAGCTTGGCTTCCTCCATCGCCATAGGCAACCCAAGCTTCCTGCTCCTTCCAGCTCTGTGGCTGCTGCCATCTTTGTGACAGAGTGATGGAATGATGGTTAATTTGCATATTACTCTTTTATTAGATAGGATAGTTCTACTTGTATATTATTATTTTATCTAAATGAAGAACAATTTTTGATGGGTAACAGAATGAGAGTTATTTGAATTTTATCACTTTTTATTCTGAATATAAATATGTTTATGATGATTATTATTGCCTGGTTTTCCACCTTCTGGATTTCTTTGGGTAGACACAGGTTGGATTTGGCCCATGCCCTAAGTTTCATCATCAGTTTCCTCACTGTAATAAGATATATTTATCTAGGTTGCACATACAAGCAAGATACATTTTCTGCACTATTACTCTTTTCTATTTGATGTTTGTGTCTTCTTGTTTTGTCTGTGGCTAATTTGTTTGTTTTTTTGTTTTCGGTGAGAAAGTGGTGTAGAAAGCATTTAAGCCACATTTTCAGCCTTATAGGACACGATTGAAATAGTGAGGGAATATAAATGATTTTCTTAAAAGTATAGAAAACAACTTTTGAAATTCTGCTTTATTTGTAAATTTAAAATATTGGTGATGTTATCTACACATGAACAAAGAATTCACTATAAGTTAATCATTTATAGATTTTCTTACCTGCTTTGCAAAAGTAAAGGCCACCAGGCAGGCAAAGATGAGGACCTTCATGTCTCTCAAGTCCTGTGAATGAGAAAATGGTAGTATGGTTGTCAATCTAATATATTGTCTTAATTCAGTAAGGTTACTTTTCTTATAAGGAAACAAAGATAATTCAATGTCTTAATTTTAGAAAAAATAATAATAGATGTTTATTATATAACCAAAATCAATATCTTCTATGGATTTGTAGTCTTACATATCAATTTTATACTTCAATTCCAGCCATTCAGACTTTTCAGCTATCACCTCTACCCTACCTCAATACTTTTCATCTTATTCACAGTACCATATGCTGTTTTTCTTTTCTGAAAACAGGAAGAAGTTTTAAATATTTATATCTATTTTATTAATTGAGTCATTTATTAAAAAATAATAATATTTATTTAGCACCCTTTATTGCCGGATGCTGTCCAGGATGTGGGTTTACCGCAGTGAACTAAATATTAAAGTCTCCACACTGATGTATCCTTGGACTTATTTAACAGACTGGTTAAAGACTGATAGAAGATCATATTTTATTTTACCTTTTCTTTTACTAAACAGTTTTCATGAATATCTGTTTTAATCATAGTTTCTTATCCTATATAATAAAAGGCTAATATACAAATTGACCAAAAGGTGGAATGACTGGTAGCTATGATGCACATTGACCACCAGGGGGTAGAAACTCAATGCAGGAGATTCCCCCTGATGGGCAGTGTGCTCCCACAAGGAAGCGCCACTCAGCCAGAAGCCCTGAGCTGGGCTCATGGTTGGTGATTGCAGGGGCAGTGGTGGGAGCCGCTCCGTCTCTGTTGCAGTGCTAAGTATGTCTAACTGACAGCTTAGGGGAGCCGGCGTAAGCCATCACTCAGACATCCCCTGAGAGCTCCTGGACTGTGAAAGGGTGCAGGCTGGGCTGAGGGACCCCCACCTGAGTGCACAAATTTTGTGCACTGAGCCTCTAGTTTCTTATAAGACTGGTTTTTTTTTTTTTGAGCACTTCATTATTTGCCCCACTTATCCACATTTTTTGACACTGATCCATTTTTTTTTCTTCACAGTCTTCATCTCCAAACACCTAATTATGTCTCTTCTTTTTTATGCCATATAACATTAGACATCATGCACTATGCCTCTTCTTTTTTCACTGATCTCTTGATGACTTACCAAAGCATCAGGTTCTCTTGCCTAGTCCCCACTGCAGGCTACTTCTTATCATAGCATATCATAAAGTATAAGTTAACACTTTTGACTGAAATGTACCAAATGCTTGATTTTGTTCCATCTCTATAATTTCTTTTTCTTTTTTCTTTTTAATATATTTTATTGATTTTTTACAGAGAGGAAGGGAGAGAGATAGAGAGTTAGAAACATCGATGAGAGAGAAACATCGATCAGCTGCCTCCTGCACATCTCCTACTGGGGATGTGCCTGCAACCCAGGTACATGCCCTTGACCGGAATCGAACCTGGGACCTTTTAGTCCGCAGGCCAACGCTCTATCCACTGAGCCAAACCGGTTTCGGATATAATTTCTCGTAAAAAATGTTTGTGCCACCAATATACTTTGACATACAATCTTCAATCCTAGATTTATAAGCTAAATTTCTGAACTACAAATATTTCATCAAAAGCATCCCTACTTCATCTGTAAAATATCCTTTGTAATTTTTAAGGCTGAAAATATTTCCCTTTAAAAGGCAAAAAGTATGTTTTCTAGATTTTCTTACGGGTACTATTTATTTATTAATTTTACTTTGCTTAAGAGCTCCATATGTCTCTAGTTAATTTTTTATTGTCAGGTCTCTATGTATATTCTGCTACATTAGAGATCATTATGTGTAGGGAAGATTCAAATTGCATTTTCTATATTTTATAATTAAAATTTTTAAGCCAAAACGTTACCATTGAATAATAGTCTAAGGTACTCTTTCTTTTAAAATTCCTCTTTTGTTTTTGTTTTCAAGGTATTTCTAGCACTTCCAGATTTTTTATTACAAACTTAAGCTTAGTTTCTTTTTAGCTGAATTTCTTTTTTACTTAATTTCATGTCTATTTTAATATTATTTTGAAATATAATTTGAACAATAAAGTAAGATGTTGAATGTTGTAAACAAGTTTGGTGAATACACTCATCTAAAAAATTACCCATAAGCATTTCAAGTAGTACATGTTCCAAAAGAAATCCCACAATATCCTACTCAATACACCACTTGATGAGTAAAGCTTTCCCAATAATTATTCATATTCCGTTATAATAATTTAAATATATTTGCTTTTATGACTATGATATGCCTAATCTAATTGGAAGTCTTATTTAATTTAGGAATCAGATATTTTAATATAGCTTGCTAACTAGCCTTGTACTAAAAATATATACATATTAACCACCATTTCTACATTTTTTGTCCATATGAAGCTTATGTGGTCCTTATAATTTCTACCAAATATGTATAGGCATTTCTACTTTTTATAACCTAAGTGTTGAAAATAATGTCACCACTACTTCGAATACCTTTATTTCAAAGACTACACTTAAAAAATTATTTTCTTCATATATCTCAATCAAGTTGAAATAAAGCTAAAGAGAAGATACAGCAACTTTATATCTGAAAGTCTTACCTTTTTTTCCAAAGTGGAGGACAAGAAGTGAAAGAGGAGCTAAGTTGGTGATGGACTGTCTGTTTTTGTGACTGTTTATATACTGTATTCAATGGTATGTTAATTTTGTGGTTTGAAAAAAATTCAATAGTATGTTTAAATTCCAAGAAGTCTATATGATTAGAAAAAGATTTCTGCTTAATATCTGTCCCCAGAAATGCTGGGGGGCATTTTAACAAGAAAGCAATTCAATTTTGATAAAGGAAATATGTCCAGGAAATAAAATTGTTTAATAATTAAAGATAATCATCAGAGGACTGTGACCCTCTGGCTCAAAATCCAAAGCATGAGGATACAATTAGGTCTCTAGTGTTTGGTGAATCTCAATATCTCAGTTGTGGGGGAATGCTATATGAGAACCACAGAAATTCAGGGGGCTTCACTAAGGCCACAATTTTGTGCTAAACTGAGCAGTTGTTAATGTTTTATGCTGCAATAGAGAAAAATGACAAGATAAGAAATCCATGATGCTAGCTTATTCATAAGTCAAATGCTTGGCTCCCAGGGTCACTTGGTTTGGGAATAACAAATCAATAACTTAATACTATTATATTAAAAAATATTTTTAATCTTCACCTGAAAATGTGTTTAATTGAAATTTTTAGAGAGAGAGGAATGAGAGAGGGAGGGAGAAATCTCAGTAGATCCAATATACCCTGACCAAGGATAGAACCTACAACCTGGCTATGTGCTCTGACAAGAATTGGACTGCTACCATTTGGTATGTTTAGATGATGCTCTAATCAACTGAGTCACAGTGGCCAGGCAAAAACTAACATCTTGTATGCAAGAAGAATAATCCTTTCTCTGTAATGGAACATATCAGAAAAGGAATCTGGATGGCTGGTTTAGGTAAAATCCTTGGTAAATTTGTTATAAAAGTTTTATTAAATGCCATGGAGACTTATTTACCTAATAAATATCGGTTACCTGTCTCTATTCAAGCATGCAAACTATAATAGCTTCTTTTTTTTTTTTTTTTTTTTTTTTTTACTTAGAGCCAACCCTATGCCAGGCATTGTGCCCTTTAAGATTTATCTTGTATAATTGTAACAAAAATATCATGAGATAACCTTCTTCTCCATATTTTCAATGAAGAAATCAAGACACCAAAAGACACTTGCAAAATCCATATTATTTGTTAATTGCAAAGATACCAGTTAAAACCAGATCTGAGTACTTGCATTTTTATTTGATTATATGCAATGCTGTGTCTTAACCCCATGAGATTTTTTAATAAGATTGAGTTCACAATGTAGCATTTGGGCTTAAATGTTCATAATTTGAGAAAACTCCATATTGTTTTTCATAATGGTTGACCCAGTGATCCCACCTCTAGGAATATATCCTAAGAAATCTGAAACACCAATCAGAAAGAATGTATGTAACAACTTCTATGTTCATAGCAGTGCAATTTATTATAGCTAAGGTCTGGAAACAGCCCAAGTGCCCATCAGTAGATGAGTAAATAAGAAAGCCGTGGTACATTTACACAGTGGAATACTATGCCACAGTAAAAATGAAGGTTCTCTTAACCTTTGAGACAGCATGGAGGGACCTGGGAAGTATTATGCTCAGCGAAATAAGCCAGTCAGAGAAAGACGGGTAACACATGATCTCACTCTTATGTGGAATCTAATGAACAAAATAAACTGATGAACAAAATAGATCCAGAGACATAGAAGCATGAACAGACTGTCAAATCTCAGAGAAAAGTCAGGTGGGTGGGAGGGAAGAGGTCAACCAAAGAACTTGTATGCATATATGCATAACCCATGGACACAGACAATAGGGTGGTGAAGGCGTGGGGCAGGAGATGGGGATGGGCTAGAAGAGGTTAATAGGGTTGGGCGGGGGGGGGGGGGAGGAGAAACAGGAAATATGTAATACTTTCAACAATAAATATTTTTTAAAAAATAAATGTTCATCATTTGTTATGCCTGGATTAGAGGAATGGGCACTTTTGCTGAATGTGAACAGGAGCCGCTAATCTTTGAAGAGGTAATATTCTAGTTGAAACTTAAAAAGGAGTACAGTTGTGAGACATGGTTAAATAGGAATAAATTATTTTGGCTGAAGGAAATATTGGTGCTTGAACAGAAATATGCTCCTATCAAAAGACTGAGACATAAGGGTACCTGAATGGATAAGAAAACATTATATATATACAGTCTATAAGAGACCAACCTCAGACCAACAGATTCACACAGACTGAAAGTAAAAAGATGGAAAAAAAATTTCCATGCAAATGGAAATGAAAAGAAAAAGCAGGGGTAGCAATACTTATAACTGACCAAATATACTGTAAAATGAAAGCCCTGACAAGAGATAATGAAGGCCACTACAAAATATTAAAGGAATTGATAC